CCTATAATTCTTCTCAGAGAGAGCCTCCTCTTTTTGTTTGAATAGACAATATCATTTTGTATGATCAATATCATGGTTTTGAAACACTGTTGGTTGCTATGGTTACCTGATTGTGTGCGATTAAAAAGAGCGTGTATCATCTCCGCGGATTGTTCAAGTACTCCCAGTAGAATGTAGAAACTTTCTCGGGGTGCTGCAGCCTTTGATGACAGGCTTTTGGCAGTGGTTTGTTTTGTTTTTTCCCTTGTAGCATATTTCTCGTGGGATTGCCGAGGACAGGCTGGGTCATCTGACCCACTTTTGCAGTGGTGGCAATGATCACGCTTAGGTTTAACAGGAACACTTGGGGTGGAGGTAGGAGGTCAATCTAGTTTTCTGTGGGCAGCCTAGATTATTGGGAGTGGCATCCCAAAAGCAGCCTGAAAGGACAGCTCCTAGGCAGAAAGGTTCAGAGTGTCACCCACTGCACAGCCCTGATGTGAAAGTCTGGAGATGTGGCTTCTTGGCCTGGTTTAAATCCCAGTTCAAATCTATGACCTTCTCTAAGCCTAATCATCTGTAAGGGTAGTATCCTGAGTTAGACCAGGGCTTCTGAAAGTATGGTCCAAGACTCCCTGAAGAATTAAAATCCCCAGGCCCTGCCTCAGATTTGATAAATCAGAAGCACTGGGCCTGGCGCCTTTCCCTCTGCATTTCCCCCCAAATGTTCCAAATGATTATTGTATAGAATAAATATAGTAGAGCACCCATGAGAGCAAAGACTCCCAAGGAGGGTCTGAAAGGCAGACTCCTTGCCATACACACCAGAGTGGATTGACTTCTAAGGAGATTGCTGAGAAAATAAATTGCTGCAGGTCCTGCTCGCTCCCAGCAACACATCCGTCCCAGGTACACCCACAAGCAGGAACAGGAGATGGTGTTAGAATGGAAACAGCAGTCACAACCTCAGGCAGGTTTTGCCCAGGAACTTCTAGAGAGGGGTCTCCAGCACATTTTTATTCACCACACTGCTGATTGGGTTGTCAGATCTCCTGGGATTTGTTGTTGTTTGTTTCTGATTGGGAGTTTTTGTTGAATCAGGCCTGCCTATTAACCCCTATCTCAGCCCACAAGCAAGGAAACATTAAAGAGAAAAGAAAAAACTTTCTCCCTTTCCACCAGTAGCATGTGTCATATCTCTGGACAAAACAGAGAAAATTCATCTGAGATGAGAAAAAAATGCATACAAAATAAAACCAGCCGTCTAAGGAGACTGAGTCATAGCTTTAAGCAGGTCGAAAAAAGAAGTAAGTCAGTAGGAATAACTTTCTAGAGAAAGCCATTTTTCTCTTCTGCTTTGAGATCTCCAAAAACCATAACTTCAATTGATGAATTCTTGAAATTTCTTCACTGGAGTTGTTCCAATTAACAACAAACACAGTGACATCAACATATTACAAATCCAATCCCAACTAAGTTAGATTAAGTGGGTATTAACTGTGGATATGGAAGAGGGTCCACACTGAGTATTAAATATAGTCAGTTTTAGCAACAACCCACAGTTCAAAAAGAGCAAATGAGAGAGAATAAAAATGAGAGTTCACAGAAGTAAATAAATAAGTAAATAAAGATCAGAATTAAGACCTGGATTAAGATAAAGGTTGAATGTGTGGGGCAGGGTAGCCAACTGGAACTCACATTCCAGAGTCTTAAAAGTTTAAGCCAAAAGATGAGTTGATCTGCACATAGTTTTGCTGATCAAACAGGAAATAGATTAGGCTGTGGCCGCCTAAGAAAACACAGATGGGTTCTGCAGACCAGATAGTTGTCCTTCCTGGAGTCGCCAATGTCGCTCCCCAACTCTTCAATCCATTTATGTGAGCATCTACTGTATCACTAAAGCAGTGATTATCCCTGTCTTGGAAAACTTCCTGATCAAAGTAGGCAGAAAAGACATGCACCTCTGAAATTATTAGAGACAAAATCAGGATAGCTATGAAACAGAAAGGGAGAAATCCACGTGGGCTTAAAGTGTCAGCAAATCTGATGGTGCAGGAAGAATTTGAGATTAGTCTTGATGGGTGGGAGAAGGAAGAATTAAGGTATTTGGGGATGAGAAATGGGAAGTGGGAAGTGACAGAAATGAGGATATATTTCATCAGGGAAAAGGAATGAGCAGAGGCCAGCGCTGGGGTGCATGGAAGAGGAGGAGTTGAAGCCCCTCCTGCTCCCCTTATCACCTCCATTCCTGTCTGGGACAAGTACCTCTAGGGAGGAGATTACATAAGCTCCGTGGCTTTCTCTGCATGGTAAACCAACCCCCATTTAAATGCATGGAATTGGGGGGCTTCTCCAGGACTCCAATTGCAGAAATGCAAATGGTGATGAAGGCTGGGATGCCATCAGACAATTGGTCTTCTGATTTGAGGGCACTGCATCTCTCTGCAAGCAAAGGATCTACCCTCATAAACAAAATGGGGGTTAGAAGAAGCTCTTATTTCGTGCCCAGATGCACTCTTCCACCCTCATGTTTGCTTTCTCTCCTTTCAACAGAACCCCAGGTCACAGTCTTTTTTGCCCAGTTTTCCTGGCATAAGGAAAACTTTTTTGTGCTAAGGAGCATTTTATTTTTATAAGACTGAGGTTAAATGAACAAGGCAATACTTAACTCAATGAATAACAAATTGTAGAATTTTAGATAATATTAGAGAAGATGCTAAGCTTATATAAAGTAGTCCATTGTCTGCTTTCTATACGTACATGGGAGGTCCCTTGTCTAAGGCCCTCTCTGTCACTTAGATCTGCCATCAGCTATGGAAAAAAGAAATGGTATCATACTGTCCATCAAGGCTCCTAATTTGTGTGTTTCTTCATGCTAGTATCCACTGGCCAAGAGATCAAGAAGTCTTCCACATAGTAGAAGCTCATTCTGGGTAATAGCCATTACCCAGCTTTGAAAGAGCTTTTTATTTTTATTTAACAAATCTTAATGGAATGCTTCCTATGTGCTGTATCATTTGTTTGTTAGCCCTTGCTGGGGTAAAAAAGAGAGGACAAGAGTAAACAAGCAAAAGAACAAGGGGAAGAGAGATACAGAGGTAGAGAAAGAGACACAAGCATCAAGTGTTCCAATCTAAAGGGCAATAAGAAGCACTGGGGAGCCTCTGGATATGCACACTCCTGGCCTCATCATCCAAAAGTTCTGATTCAGTGCATCTGGGGTTAAGCACTTGCGTCAGTGTTTTTAAGAACGGACCTAATTAATTCAGTTATAGGTGGTCCCTGACCACACTGAGAATCATTGCATAAGACAATAACAGGATGTGGAGGTCAAGAATAAGAAGCCTTACGTGAAACCAAGCAGGCTGGGGCTACACATTGGTTAACCAAGAATCACAGAGGGTTCAGTGGGCCATGCCCAGGTGTGCCAACTGATAGCAACACAGGGCCACACGTGTTTATCCCCCACATTTACAAAATAGTACATTTGGAAGTCACAAGGAAAAGCTCCATTAGCCAGGAAGGCAAAATCAAAATGGCTGCGAGGGGCATGGTTGACAACCTTGGAGTTGTCATGGCAACAACAATCAACACGAGCACTGAGCTGAGAAAGCTGTGAAGAAGAAAGAAGAGGTGGAAAGCCCTATTAAAGATCATGCCAGGTGACTTACAAAGGGCTGCTCTATCTAGGTTAACCCATATAGCTGTGAAGAAGTCAAGAGGAAAGAGGATGAATTCCTTCCAAGAATTGGCCTGCAGGAAATAGGTTGGTGCAAAGTTTACTCAGGAAGTATTATTTGCCCTTTTGTGTTTTTCCAATTTGTTTCTGGTATTTCTAATATCGGAGACTCCACCAACTGCTTAATGGATCAGTCAAACACAAACTCAAACACAATACTCAAGTACAAGGATAATAAAGACAACTCCAAAAAAAATGACCACTACAGAATTTTATTTAATTAAAAACATTATACATGTTGTTGCATTTTCATGGAAAATATTGAGTTTTAAAACACCAGAAGTGTTAGTTTTCAAAAACCTTCATGCACCCTGTTCTGCCCCCTGCTGCTTTCCTCTGTCCATGGCATTAACTATGTGTTTGTAAGGAACTGTGACTTCCTAGAAGGTCATGCCTACAGGTCTGGAGTGAGCCATCGTCTCAACGACAGTTCCGTAGAGTTAACTCAGACCCTACCAGCTTCAGATTCCTTGCAAACCATTGAAAGGAGCCAGTCAAAAAAGCCCAAAGCACGTGTCAACACCAGTTCAGTACAATCAAGTACTGCCACGACCTTATCCAGTTTCCAAGCCAGCAAGCAAGTGACCTTGTGTTTTACTGGTTATATTAGTGTCCTGAGCTCCTCCAAGAACTTCCCAGGGACCAATGGTGGGAAGACATTGCCATATAGTGTTAATATTCAAACCGCCCCCAATACACAAAAGCACATGTGCCCTATGCAGGATACTACCAATTTCTTAAAACATACATATGCTTCAATGAATCTCCAACAATTAAAAAAAATACATATTGGTACAATATGGCCTTTGGAATCACTGGCTAAAACAAAGCAGTGTGAGGTTTTTTGGGTTTTTTTTTTTTTTTAAGTTTTGATGTAATTGTCCATTTGTTTAAAAATAAAATCCACAGCATAAAAAGTTAATTCAAAAAGATCATTTCAGCTATAAACATCTCACACATAAATACAAGGAGTATACACTATAGTTCTGTCCTACGCTCCCCCACTTCCCTTTCTCTGGACTACACTGTTCCCTAACTTAATTCCTTGACCCACATCATAATGCTCTGTCCCTATATTGATCCTGAAAGATGCTTTTAGTAAAAATAGACCTGATGTGACAGAAATGTCTGGCTCTGTTTTGCTGTTCCTTTGCTTTAAATTGTAGTACACTTAAATTGGGTTCTGCATCCAGCTTTATATAAAAGAGAGATGAATGACCCCCAAATATACAAACAAATAAAAATAGCTGAATAGCAAAAAAAAAAAAAGAAGAAGAAGTTAGAATTGCCTCAGCTCTTAGAAATTGGAATATGGTCTCTCTTCTTCATAATGGTCTCTCAGTTGATGGTAATAAAATAAGGTTGAAATTGCTTTTCACATTCTGGCTCTGTTGGAGGCATTTTCACATAGACCCCTGTTGTAAGAAGGCTTCTTTTCTTTAGCTGTCGAACACAAAAAAGTCACAGTAATTATTATTGAAGAATACAGAAGCCATTGCTAACCATAATAGGACTCAACAAATATTGGGTTCCTACCCCATTGAAAATGAATGTTCACAACATACAGAATTGTAAACCCCGGGAGATTCCCTTGATTTGGCTATTAAAATTCAATTTTGATAAATAACTGTGATTTTGATGTCAAATAGCAACTATTTGTTTTGACCGGAAGATAGAAGAAAGAGACTTTGAGAAAATGTCACCACGCACACCCAAATGCCTATGATAATTGACCATATCTTATGAGTGAAGGAATAAGCTTGATAAAGTAACAAACTTTAGATCTTCTGTCTGAGAGCTGTGTTTCTCATTCTCATTATTTGCATGCCTTATTACTTTTTCTCTCCCTGCCTTAGTTCCCAGTATTTATCACCTTGTTAAAATGAGATCAAGTCTAAGTGGTAGCTTGCAGCTAAGAAAGTAGGAAGAAGCTACAGAAACAAACACTGCTGTCAGGTTGAGTAGAGGATCTTGGAGTAGAGTGTAGGTGAAAGACAGCAAGAAAGCGGAGAGGGGAGAAAGAGAGAAAGAAAGAGGAGGAGGAGGGGAGAGGGAGAAAGGGAGTGAGTGAGGGGGAGTTTGTGATGGCAAAGCCAGCTGTAGGCAAAAAGGAACCCTGGCAGGAGACCTGACTCTGCACCTCCAGCTCTTCCAACAACTTTAGGAAAGAAAGACAGGCTTTTGTTTACTGGGCTGGAGTTGAGGCAAGACATTTCAGCCCTGCAGACTGGGTAATGCGGACGGGTAAATCCGCATTGCTATGAGCAGACACAACTCAGACAAGAAGGCACAAGGTGGCACCAAGAAGTGACTTCCAGGTGAAACAGAGGGACCTTTAGGAAGAGACTCAAGTCCATCCAGGTAGTCCTCTCTAGCAACATCTCATCCAAACAAAACTTATGCTTCAGATTTGGTAACGGCTATACAGTTGTCATGAAGGTAAAGACTGAAACAGCTGCCCCATATTGTTCAAATGGTTACTCAGACTGAAACCCTGTTCAGAAGCACACAAACATTCAATGTCAAACACGCTCATCTAAAATCTTAGTCATTCTGAAACCTCAAGTCCAATGCCTGAGTCCTACCATGTTCTTTACCCCTGCCCTTCCTCCTCTCCATTTATTGCTTCATCTCAGGAAAACTAAACTCCATGCCGTCATATGGTCAGTGAATGCCACTGAAGGTATCCCCACCAACCACCGTGCACTGTCAGCATCACACTCACCATTTTGCTCAAAGAAACAGCTGTGAGGAGAAAGCTGTAAAAAAACAACCCTGAACTAACAGCTGCAAGGATCCAGAGGAGGGAGTCAGAATCCGGGCATGGTTCTGGGTCTGCAACAGAAAACAAGGCAGAGCGTCCCTGAGACAGCCTCAAACCTTAGGGCTCTACTCCCCCAACCGGTATCAAAAGGAAGAAGTTAGAGCTTCCAGACTTTGGTGCCCACAGGTCAGTCTAGTTATTTGGGACTACTTCCCTAGGAGTATCACGCCATATGTGTATCAAAGGCACAGGCCCGACTTCCTGGTGGTTACCACCCCAGAGTAAGTGTCCACCCTGCCAGGAGAAAAAACACCTGCCCCAACTCATTTTATTTTATACAGGCAGAATGTTGTTTAGGTCCCTACCCATAAAATAAACAAGACTACTGTATGGTAGAGATCACTTAGAGAGAATGTCCACAGTCCGAAAAATGACCCACCTGAAAGGAAGGAGCAAAGCGTTTTTAAGCAAAGAAGACAGCAACGCAAAAAGTGTCAAATTAGTGAAATGGCTTTGCTCACCAATGACGTAAATCTGGGTTCCATTCCCCATGCCCAAGTAGTATGGTGGCGGGTACATGAGCTCCACCTTGCAGATGTAGAGACCCGTGTCCGTGGCCCTCAGCCCTTGGATGGTCAGGTTCACTTTGTTTCCACTGGAGGTGCCAGTGCAGGTGAAATCATCTAGGAAGGTCAACTCATCCTCCGTCATGTACACTGCACAGACTTCAGTCACCTGGTCGTTAGCCTGCCGCAGCACTGTCACTCGGACCTCAGCAGCTTTGCCTGGAGGCTCATACTCACACACAAAGTTGGCGTCACCCCGATTGCTGGCCAGGACCACTTTAGGCTGGGCTACGTGCATTGCTAACATGGAAAAGCCAAAGGAAACTCAGTGAATTTATGCTCATCTGTAGCCAGGCCCACATAAGACCGCTGGCCAGGAAAGATTTGTCCTTGAGGAGCCCTCTCCATCTCTTCTCTACCTCTTCAAGAAACCCATCACCCTCACTTCTCCTCTGTCCTTCTCAGCCTCCCCTCCATCTTTCAACAGGCTTCTAGCTACTCTTCATAAAGAATTTTCCTTAGGGGGCAACAGTTTCATCGAGACAGTTGGTTGTGGCAGGAAGAACACTGACATAGCAAACAGAAGACCTGGATCTGCCAGGAAATATGTGATCTGGGGCAAGTCATGCCCTCCCCCAAGGCCTTCACACATATAGTAAGAGAGGATCAGGAGAGATGATATCAAACTGCCTTCCCCCTCTGGTATCCTAAGGTTACAATAAGACTACGGAACTATAGCTTAGGAACTATAATGAGTAGTAGGGCGAATTCTAGCGGCTGAGGTTAGAACCTCGCCTTATCTCTTAAAGCACACCCGAAAAACCTCTGTCTACATATTTCACTGGGCCCTATACCTCTATCACCCAGGAGTAGCTGAGCCCTGGTACACTGGGCAAGCCACACACTTCCCCAGCATCGTTGTTGTAGAGTGGGACACACTTTAGAAGAAGAAAGCCACAGAGCTGAGGGCACCGGGTCGTTTCCTCTCTAGGTTAAGGCAACCCTGCTGTTAACTTCTGTGGGCTTCCCCTGCCACCGCCAACACCTCTGCCTCCCTGCCCTTCCTCTCTCCTTCGTCTGAATGCTCCAGCACTCCTTTGTTTTGTCTTTCCCTCTGGCTTCTACCAGATAAAGGAGGCTGGCTCTTCACACAAAGAGGCTTGTGTCATCTGAAAAATGGTGGCTTCCTGTAACTAATCTGGCCCCCTCTAGTCCGTCTTACAAGTGAAACCCAAAACTTGTATTGAATGATGTCACTCATCTGCAGCAATCCTTTGATGCTTTACTAACACTGATTGCAAAAACAAATGAATAACTTTAATGTCCTCCATAATTCCAGTCTATCACTCCAGTCTGCGTTTCCAGGATAGTCCATCCTGCTTATTAAGTCACCCTATCCTAGAGACACTAGTCCCTTATCCCCAAGAACCCGTACTGGACAACATCTGTCCCCAGAAGAGAGAACAATATGGCAGCAGTCATTGTCTGGGCTATCCCAGAAATTCTGGCTGGCTAGATCCACTCTCCTTTCCCAACCCTCATCTTTCCCTATTGGCAATATCCTCGGAGCACCCTTTGCACTATGTTAAGTCCACTGTGTTACTAAATGAAATTTTGTCTTGTATTCAAATTGTTGCGGGCTAATCGTATGTCCTCCCTCTTCTGTCTCTGGCTCCTGAAAGTAGTAGTTGTATCTTGCCCAAATTAGCACTTAATAATCTCTATTTTATTGACTCTAAACCTAAAGAGTACTAAATGTCCTGCCCCACCCCCAGGTGACTCACATATTTCACTACCAAATCTGGTCTCACTCAATTTTCCAGCATCTATCGTGGAAGGATCCTAGTTACAGGTTGATATAAATTTCCTCTAAGAAATTTGAATGCTTCTAAGGGTATTTAATGTTTATATATTCAATATAAGAAAGTTATATGAGTATTTCTTCAGTAAATATTAAATCATCAAACATCTTTTGAGCATCTACTTATTACAAACTACAGGGTTTCTTAACCAAAAAGTTCTAGAGAGAGATTAGGTGGAAGAGCATTCAGTGGAAATACTCATCATTTCCAGCCTTGTAACATTCCTGGTATCAACCTCTAAAGAGCTTTGTTTCAAGTGAACACCATGGATCAGCATCTGAAACCCATAGATAGGTCAGGCAACAATTACCTTAAGCCAAACAGACTGATAACTTCCTTCCTTCCTTCCTTCCTTCCCTCCCTCTTCTTCTATTTTTGTTTTGTAATTTCAAACTATTTCACTTTTAAAACAATTAGCTAGCTAATTTATAGAATTTATTAAGCAGAATTCAAACCTTGAATTGAGTAAATAAAGCATTCTTCCCATGATTTGCTTCAATCTTAAACAAGCTGGACAATTTGTTCATAAAATTAATAAGTTAGAGGACCTTAGAACCGTGAATTGTATAGGAAAGGCATGATTTTCTTAAGTCAACTTTTTTAAAGGGAAATTTTGAAACCACTCTGATATCCAAACCTGAATGGATTAGGGTTATCCTTTCCCTCTTAAATCACTTAACTTCTTCCAATCCTATAGAAGTCTCTGAAATTGCCATGTCTCCCAAACCAACTCACATCCTCCATTAAGTTGCTGTTAAATATCTGCTTATTTGCTGCGGCCCCTGTGTCCCCTGCTTGCCTTGGAATTCAGAGCCAACCAACCCAAGAGACTGGACTTTTACCTTTAACTTCTGGCCTTGCTATAAATCACTGCCCTTGACTGCAATAAGAAATGAAACCAGGGTGGGAGAAACACCTCCTCCACCTTCATTCTCCCAAAGTCTCACTCACCTTTGGTGAAGACAGGAATGAAGAGAAAAGAAAATAGGATGATGCAGGACCAAGTCCTGGAAGCCAGGTCTAGCCCTGCCTCTTGCCTCTGGAATCCAAGGCAAGCCATGGCCTTATGGGAACAGTGTTCAGGTCTTTAGGAAGCAGAGCGAAACCTTTCTGGATCTTGAAGCTTTGAAATATGTTTGAACCCACACAGAATCAAGGACTTTATATAGACAACTTTGATCCCAGCATGTACTGCTCATGTGCACTTCAATTGAAAGCCTTTTTTGTTTTGGTTTTAAGAGAAAGGAAACCGTGGGTTTAGCTTTTACGTCGAAAAGACGACCTCAAATACTCAAAGTAAAACTGTAAAAAACAAGACATCTGTGGATGGAAAATGTACTCAATTTGAAACAAAAGTTTTGTGTTCACTTTGAGGATCTGGATAACTAAGTGGAGACTTGGAGAATTTCCTGGAGTGCAAGGGTCCCCCTAAGTCCCTACTTTATTCAATGGTCTGGGCATTGGCCACCAATTCATTTCATTGACATCTCCCAAATTGCTAAGCTGCCAGTTATCTGATCCCTTAAGTAAATAGATGAATTAGTCATCTGTTTTATCATTAATAAAAATTCTGTTCTATATGTGAGCCTCCATCTTTCTAAGGGTCTTGGCACGATTTACAAATAAAAGTTTATTTCTCCTAACTCTATTTAGCATTTGATTGAGAGAAAATACCAAAATCACAAAAAATAAACTGAAAATGTAGAACAAAAATACCTGCCTCTGGTTTTGCAGATTAGGAAAGAATTTAGATGTTCTTAAAAGCCTTAACTCAACAGAGACAAAACAGAGTGGGAGAAGGTCCAGAAAAAGTCAACCAAAATGATCCAAGAGATTAAAAACTTCTACAAGAAGATAGACTTATTTTTTTAACAGAAATTATTCAAGCATAAAATCCAAAAGCTGAGATTAGGTAGCTTAAATGGGACCAGAGTTATAAAATGTTTAAAAGCTATAGATGGCATAAATCTTCATCTACTAAAAGAATACTAAACATTGAGGGCCTCTTTAAATTTAGGGAAACATTTATTGAGAACCCATAATATGTCAAGAATTGTATGCACTTAGGATTGAATGAACAAGACAAAAACATAGTTGGTGCCCTAAGAGGCTTCTAGAAGACAGACGTGCAAACAGACAGCAGCAGCAGCAACAGCAGGTGTGGTGTTTGCTTCTTCCAGCCCTTGCGTGGCTTCCCACTGTCCACATACCTCAAAGAACACAGATCTAATGCCTCTCTTTTTGGCCTATCTCCCAGCATTCCCTCACAGACCCCTAACTCTGCTGGCTTTTCTCCCACTTGCCATTTTCAGGTCTTGTCACCTATACTTGTGCTGTTCCTACTGCCTTTTTTCTTCCATTTTCTTATTTTATCCTTCTTATGCTGCAGGACTAGCTAAGTCCTCACCTCCTCCAGGAAGCCTATTCTGACTTGCCTCTTTCCTATACTCCCCTTGCACCTCATAGATGCCTTCAACCCTCAAGAAACACCCAACAGGCCCTCATTAGTGGCCAGGCCCCAGACTGGGCACTGGACATTGAAAAAAGAAAAGTTAAAAACATATGTTCCTGGCCTCAAGAAGAACCCACAGCAGTGGCAGGGACAGACAGCTAAACCTATGATCATGACAGAGTGAGATCAAGGCTGGAATTGAAGTATGTGTATCCCATACACCATAGAGGAACAGAAACCATTCATTTGGCCGGTGGAAGTCAGAAAGGGCTTCTCAGATGAAGGAAAACCTGAGCTTATTATTGAGCACAAGGCAAGGGGTGGGTATTCAGACCAATAGAATAGCATGGACCAAGGCTGGGAAGAGCATAAAGAGCTGATTATGTCCAGAGGTACTGTGGTGCTGCAGGATTTCTTCAAGTGTTGTCAAGTTTGTCCCAACCCAAGTCTCACTGGGTTTTTATTTTGCCCATTTTATAAAGAAGTAAAGCAAGGCATTGAGAGTCAACCTGATTTATCCAATCCTCCATAATACAGCAAGAATTTGAAGCCAGTGATAGTCTTAATCAGTACACTAACACAAAGTCTTTGAAGTCAAAAAGGACATTTGAAGATTCTTAGCATGAAGACTTGCTAACTGTTAACCTAGGGCTGAAAGCCCAGTGTCCTCCAGAGGGTGGTGTGTCTACATCTCACAGCTAGTGTAAGGATCAACTGAGGTAGTTCGTGTAACATGTATAAACCTATTATGATGCCTGGCCACTCAACAAATAGGAGTTCTCTTTTGTTATAGGGTCACGGAGAAGACAGAGGTGCAATGTACTGGAACAAATAACATAGGAAGAGCAGGTAGAAAAGTGAAGATGACTTCCATCTGGGCGTGTTGAGTTTATGGTGCATGTTCGAGGAAAAAGACCCGAAAACCGGTAAGCATCTGGAGCACAGGGAGAGACATGAGCTGAAGATAGCTTAGGCAATCATGAAGCCAGTGATGAAAATTTCACAGACTAAGGCATGAAATGAGCACTCTATAGACATTCGCTAAATGAATAGACAGATGAATGAAAACAGTTTATAACACAGGAAGAGATGAAGGTTGTAGTAGGGACTGTCAAAGAGGTCTGAACAGGTTTCTGAATTATGCTTTGGTAAAGCTGTTTCTGTCATAGCAAGAAAACTCAATGGTTGTGAAAACCACTGGGTCAAAGAATGTTGGTGAAAAAGATATATTCGCATATATAACCCCACAGATTACTTGATAATTACAAAGAGGAAAAGATAATTGATAAGTCTAGCAGATAATTCCTTAACCAAGTGATCCAACTGAAGATCATCCATAATGGAACATTCTGAAATCACTCACCTCCAGATGCAATGCACGGAGAAGGACATGATACCTCTGCAGTGTTATTGCCAAAATTAGTTAAACTGAATCTAAGCATGAAGACATAATCAGACAAATCAACATTCAGCAGAACAACTGGCATGAATTATTCAAAAAATGTTAATATCATGAAAGATTAAAAAAAAGAAAAGCCTGGAAAGCCATTCTAGATTAAAGGAGAATATGGAGATGTAACAATGAAATTCAATATCTGATTCTTGGATTGAAAAAAAAAAACAACTATAATGCACACTTGAGACACTTGGGGAATTTTGAACACAGATTATAGGGGATTATAGCATTGTCTTCATGTTAAATTTCTTCAGTGTGATCATTTTATTGGGGTTATGTAGAAAAATATCCTTGCTATTAAGTGATGCTTAAGTGTTCAGGGTTTAAGTCTCAGGATGTTGGCAAGTAACCCTCAGATAGTTCAGCAAAAGTAAGTGTACGTGTTTGTGATAGTAAAAAAAGAGAAAAACAATTAAACAACAACAGTGACAAAATGTTAACAACTGGTGAATTTGAGTGAAGAATGTATGTATACGTTCATGATACTCTTAAAAATTCTTTGTAAGTTTGAAGTTTTTCGAAGTAAAATCTTGAAAGTAAAAATTACAAGACCAACCGCTGTATTACATGGTAGGCACTAAACCACAGATAAGCAAACTGAAATTTAGAGAGGGAATGTGACTTGTTTAGGGTTATTCTCCATCTCCTTTCCTTAGATCCATGCTCTGAAGCATAGATGGATTTAAATCCCGACCTTCTCCTTCCCATCCAGTATTTAGGTTTTCCCTGTCACCTTATGTACAATAATAACATGTTGTATCATACAGGTTTGCATTTATTATAGTCAGTCATGTGTGATTCCCATTCCCCTACTCCAAATGCTATTTCCATTGACACTTGCAGTCTCACCACACTCACAGCACCTAACCAGGGCCCCCTCTGTACCTCCTACGTAACAGAGAATTTCTGCACTTCCATTTAGAACTCAGGTCTCTTTATTTACCTTGCATCTAACTTCCCACTCTCAGGAAAGTGCTAAGTAAGGAGGCAATCAGAGGACGGATAGGTACTATTGTGTCCCATAGATGGTTCATAGCATGACTGGAGTCAGAAAGATACAAGTTCAAATCCTGCCTCTGCTGCTTCCTAGAGATATGACCTCAGCTGACACATTTGAACTTCTCTGATCCTCAGCTTCCTCATCTGTAAAACAGAGCTTATTACGGTAAGTATCTCATAGGGTTATTGTAGTAATTCGATAAGGCTATCCCAATACATTGTTAAACACTGCCTCTGGTGTGTTTTGTACTCAGTAAATGTTGATTTCGAACTTCAGCATAAACCCTTCTTTCATCATCATCTCTAGTCATCGCTAGTGAACAGATGGTGCATTAGAATAAAAACCAGTACGAACTATTCTAATACTCACATACTCATTGAATTTCTGCCCCTGTCAGTATTTCCATCAGTATCTGGAACCAAATAGCTTATTATTTTTTACCTGACTCCCAAAACTGAGTTCTCAATTATTCAGTAGTCAAATATCTGAAGGTCTGAGGGCACCACATCCTTGGGCATTTTCACTTCAGGTTAGGAAGAGGAAAGTCAATTTGATATTTACTTTTACCCCTACAATTCAAAAAAAAAAAGGTTGGTGGTAAAGACAATGAAAATAATTAGCTAAACTTAGGACTCGGGGATTCACTATGACTTCATTTACTCACTATCTTCCTATATCCTAACAGCTTGAGTAAACCTCAGATTGGTTTTATAGTACTCTGAGTGGTTACTGGATTTGAAAGATCTCTCAAAATTTGCATAATTCACAGTGGTGCCTAGCTACAGTGAATTGTCTTCAGAATTCCAGATGAGGTACAGTTTAAGTAGGGTAACCTGGGAGGTTTTTACTTAATGGAAAATTCCTCAGTTTATAAACTTTTCAGATTTTTGAAGCTTTTCTTTTTCTAAACCTGCTCCATTTATCCTCTCCCCACCTAGCACACCCAAAAAACCCACCTTTTGTTGAGAGATTTGCACCTGGCATTGACTGCGGTACACACTGCAAAACATCCTTTGCTTGATGGTTTCAGATGTAATGGGAAGAATGAAAGGTCTAATATTTGCATAGCATGCAGTTTCAGGACATCCCATTACGTTGAGCCTATAATCATGCCTAATTAAGGTTAAATACTCTGTGTTTTTGTGCTAATTAGCTCATCACTGTATGGCTCCTTTCAAAATCGACTTCAAAGGAAAAAGAAAATCATCTACCAAAGTAAGTGATTGCTGAAGAAGAACCTATCAATCATCTCACTTTGAAAGAGAATTAAAGAGAAAGGAAGTGATATGCAAAGTG